AAAAACTGACGACGTTAACACGCCTTCTACGACGAAAAACACGCATAGACTGAGACTAGCAAAGAAACTCCTGACAGTGGGAACATGGAATGTGCAGACTCTGTGGGCTGCGGGCAAGCTAGAACTGCTTCGAAACGAAATGAAACGTTTCAGATACGACATCATTGGTATATCTGAAGTCCGCTGGACAGGAAAAGGCGAAACGCCAAGCGGTGACTTCATTTGGTCGGGAGAGGAAAGAACACATACGAGGGGTGTGGGCTTCCTCCTCAGTAAACAAGCAAAAAAGGCATTGATAGGATACAACCCAATTAACTCCCGGATAATAACGGCAAGATTCAATGCATCTCCGTTTAAGATGACAGTGATGCACGTGTACGCGCCTACTTCCACATCTTCCGAGGAAGACATCGAGGCATTCTACAGCGACATCGATGAGGTGCTCTCGAAGACAGATAAAAAGGACGTCATCATTCTGACAGGTGATTGGAATGCAAAAATTGGTAGCGATAACAGTGATTGGAAACCTGTAATGGGGCGATACGGATACGGCGACAGAAACGAACGCGGAGAACGCCTTCTAGAATTCGCTACAGCGCATAATCTCTACGTATGCAACTCGAGATTCCAACATAAATCGGATCGGAAGTGGACCTGGGCTTCTCCAGATGGTGTTCACAAGAACATGATTGACCTGATTCTCATCCAACAGAGATGGAAGACCTCGGTCATCAACTGTAGAACGTTTCAGAGCGCAGACATAAGCTCAGATCACTCGTTGGTGCTGTGCAACGTCAGACTGCGACTCAAGAAATTGAAAAGCGAAGCACAACAGTGCCGCAGAGTTGATGTAAGCCGATTAACGGACGAGAAAACGAGGCAATCCTACAATGCTACACTAGCCAAACACATGGAAAGCATAGATCCTACAGACGATCTGGAAGAGCATTCCGCGAGGATCTCAGAAGCGATCAGAAGCGCAGTCGATTCGACCGTACCAGTCAAGCGGGCTACGAAGAAACCTTGGATCTCCGAAGAAACGCTGAAGCTAGCCGATGAAAAAAGGAGGCTGAAACAAATGAAAAACGTTTCAGACAGATACGCACAAGCGTACAGAGACTCTTGTACGAGAGTCAAGAAAGCGGCAAGACAGGATAAAGAGCATTGGATCCACGAACAATGCGAGCAAGCGGAAAAAGGTCTGAAGATTGGTAACACCAGGGAAGCATACAGCCTTATCAAAACGCTTCGGAAAAAGTTCACGCCTCGATTGAATGTGCTGAGAAGTCAGGATGGGACATTGCTCCAGTCGAAAGACGAGATCAAACAGAGGTGGACTCAATACTGTAGCGGACTGTACCAGGACCACGGAGGTGGAGATGTGGTGGTACGAGAACTTGCAGAGATCACACCCTTCACCGATGACGAAGAGTCTCACGACATCCTGTACTCGGAAGTACAGTCAGCGATAAGCTCGCTGAAAAAGAATAAAAGCCCAGGGTCGGACGGAATCACTGCAGAGATGCTACAAGCTGGAGGGGAACAGCTGGCGCGACAGATACATAAGCTCTGTAGCAAAGCATGGCGAGAAGGCACCATTCCAGAAGAGTGGGGCAAATCTCTTCTAGTACCGATACCAAAGAAAGGAGATCTAAGTAACTGCTCGAACTACCGAACGATCTCTCTTATCAATCACACGGGAAAGGTACTTTTGATAGTGCTACTAAACAGACTAAAAGGTCACCTCGATCCGTACCTATCAGAAGAACAAGCTGGCTTCCGAAAGGACAGAAGTACTGTACATCAGATCTTGACATTGCGGCTCATAGCCGAAAAGGCTAAACGACAGGGGAAAAAAGTGTACAACTGTTTCATTGACTTCCAAAAAGCATTCGATACGATCAAGCATAACATCATCTGGGCTACGTTGAAGTCCTACGGGGTGGAACCGAGAATGGTCACCCTGCTAAGCCAGATCTATGAGAAAGCACAGTCAGCTGTTCGCATTGGTACAGAATACGGTGATTGGTTCCATACGAATGTGGGAACGAGACAAGGCGACCCGCTGTCACCACTCCTCTTCATCGCATACCTCGACCGAGTCATGGATCAGGTGAGACAGAACACCTGCGGAGTCCGAATCGGTGGAATGACGATAAACAACTTGAGGTTCGCTGACGATATTGATCTCATGGAGGAGGACCTCGGCTTACTCAAAAGGCAAATCGAGCTGACAAAGGAAAGTGCCGAACAGGTAGGACTGTTGCTAAATACGAACAAAACTAAAATCATGGTGTTCGGCGACAGGAAACCGGATAATAGCATCCAGCTGGCAGGTGAAACAATCGAAAACGTTGAAAAATTCGAATATCTCGGTAGCCTACTGACGTGGGACAACAACTGCTCGGAAGAGATTAAAAGGAGAATAGGAAAAGCGGCAGGAGCAATGGCCTCGCTGAAGCACGTTTGGGGCAGCAAGAAGATGAGTCTCGACAACAAACTCAGAGTATTGACAACGTGCGTCTTCAGCGTTCTCTTGTACGCATCTGAAACGTGGACGCTGAAGCAAACCGACAGGAAAAAACTGCTAGCATTTGAGATGAAATGCTACCGACGAGTCCTCCGAATAAACTGGCGTGACATGATACGAAACGAAGACATCAGGAGCAGAATATCGAAGGAAGAAACTATCGTAGACATCATCCGAAGAAGGAAATTAGGACTGTTCGGGCACATCTGCAGAATGGGAGATAACAGGCTGATCAAACACGTTCTATTTTCACAAATGGACGGAAAATCTCGAAGAGGACGGCCGTGCAGAGAGTGGCTCGATGACATAACGGAATGGTGTCAACGTAGTGGACA